ACACCCGCTCCGGCCGCTTCGACGATGTTCGGCAACTGCTTGACGCAATGCGCGGTCACCGGTGAGGCCCGAGGTCACCGGCAAGGTCGCCCGCGAGGCGCCGTCACACAGACAGAAAGACTTCAGCGATACCAAACACTCTTTGGGCTCTGGGTGTTTTGGGCTTTGTCCTCGCAAGGATCTCTCTCTCAAATGCTTTGGAGGTGGGTTGCTCTCAAACGACAAAAGTCGTGTACTAACTCTGAGCAGCCACCAATTTATGGTGTAGGGGGTGGGCTATTTATAGCCAGGAGGCAACCCGACCTGATTTGTCCGAAATGACCCTGAGTCACTAAGGAACTGACACGTGTTCCAACGGTCAGATTTCAAACACACGCGACAGCTTGACTTGGGCTACAAGTAAAGCTGACTTATCCGACTCTCGATAAGATTTGCTCTCATTGTCTTCGCTCGAAGACATAGGATTTGGTTGAGCATCACTTCAGTCACTCTGACTTTGTTTACTTGGACCCCATTTAACAGTACGGTGGTTCCTATGACTCAACAAAGAAGAAAAGGAAGCTACAAAACAGCTATGTCTTCGCACTCCATAGTCTTCACGTGAATGTATTCTCAAGTCATAATCTTTATTGTGAATATCTTCACATACCACCATTGTCTTCAATGTCTTCACACATTTTTAGGGGTCATCTCCGGTAGGTAAACCAAATCAATGAGGGACCACTACCTGTGTTATCCTGCAATTCTCACAAACACATTAGTCCCTCAACCAGGTTTGTCGTCAATACTCCAAAACCAACTAGGGGTGGCACTAGATGCACTTACAGTCTCCCCCTTTTTGGTGATTGATGACAAACTGGTTGAAATATTCAACGGGGATAAAAGTATGTGAAATTGTAAAGGATTAAGATATTGTCTTCATAAGTAGCAAAAGGCTCCCACTGAAGATGTGCATATAAGTATTTTGCTTTTGAATGCAAATGCACATGGCAGGCTGTACTTGTGGAGATCCTCTTCAACTAATGAAGACAATTCGTCATGCATGAAAGGATATAATGAAGGTAATGGCATGCACAATGGAAAATGGACGTCTGCGAAAAGATCTCATGCGGGATTTATCATCGCATATGCGAAATTTATCATCGCATCACAGAATAGCAGAGAAAGTAGCAGACGATCATCAAGTTTAAGTGTTACAACTCAAAAAACCAAAAGTATCAAAAGCAAGAGTTGTAAGCACTTGGCAAAAGTATAGTAAAAATATCAACCACCCTTATGGACCCGCTTGAAGACTATCAACTCATATGCTTCTCCCCCTTTTGTCAGTAAGGACCAAAAAGGTTTGAAGACATAGAGCGTCTACTCGTTCCCATGAGAAGTAGGGGAAGCAGCAGGGTCGTCATTGAGGTTCGGTAGTGCAGAAGAACTTGGTGCAGTGTCGATGTGCGGTGACGTTGTAGTTGGCGAAGTAGCATCATCTTCATCATCGACGACTCTTGCATTTACAGTTGCTGCAGAGGAGGAGTACACAGAATCTTCGAGTGAGGGAGTCCGACGCAAGACAACATTCCTGGGAGGAGTGGAATCAAACTTGAATCTCTTTGTGAAGCCATCTTGTTGAAGATCATCTTCAGAGCTTATCAGTGTCAGACCCTTCCACGTCCGCCGACAGGTTTCATGAGTGACAAATGCATTCTTGGTGGCGAGGTTGCGAATGCGATTAACAATCACCAAGAGGCTTCGCATCTGACGCTTCAGCCAGTCATGATGCTTATCCTGTTTTTGATGCAGGGCAACGAGAAGCTCTCGGTCATTGTGTACATGAGAACGCTTCCGAGGCCGTTGAGCAATTGTGCTTTCAGTGGCTTTAGTATGGGCACGATGAGGTGCACGAGTATTGCCAGCCAAAGGATAAACACGAGTAGCAGCAAGAACTCCTTCAATGGGTTGAGTGAAACTTTGGCGATCGACATTGTGAAGGTAAATGGGCTCCTTGGCAGGTTCTGGGTATATGGCTTCGACAGACATATCTACCTCTGGTAAGAAGATAATGTGGTTGCGCGCAGAGGGCTGATAGTTGACAGCGGAATGAAGCTTGATGAGGCGCATAACCCATAGAGCATAGAACTTAAGACCAAATAAATCAGAGCCAGACGCAGCCAATTACCTGATGAAGAAGTCTTGAGCATTGAAGCTGATGCCATTGAAGATATAGAAAACTAATGTCTTCATTGCTCCTTCAAGCTTTGCTGCAGGAGAATGTCATTTGATAGGCCATAGAGTTCGCCTGATGATATCATAAATAGTGCGCGGCAGATACTCTAGGTCTTCAACAAAGAATTCCCTTGGATATTCAGCGTCGCGTGGCAGTGGCTTCATCATGCTCAGCATTTGGCTCATGTTTGGCTCAGGCTTCTGAAAGATGCTCCTTAAAGCATTGCGGTGAAGTTGACAACCAGGTTCATATAGTTCACCTGGAGTGGGCAGGCCAGTGAGCTCAATAATATCAAGAGCTTTGGCTTCATGGTGTACATTGCCTGTCATCCACTCAAGGATCCATGACTTCGGATCCTTGTTGTAGCCGCGAATGTGGAAGGTGGCATAAAATTGAAGCAGAAGCTCTTCGTTCCAGTGCTCTTTATCAGTCACAAATTGTAGCAGACCAGCATCTCTGAAACAATCAAGGGCTTCTTCCAAGCAGGGCAGACCAGCAATGGCTTCGCAGTCTAGACGCATATGGGGGAAAGATGCGCCCTTGATCGTAAAGAACACAAGAATAGTAATTGCGCTGGTGATAGCTCCAGAACTGATCAGATGAAATTCTTGGCTTCAAGTATGGGTTCTTGTCGCTATCAAAGAAGGTATTGTGTGCAACAAAGCCATTCACATTAAACAATCCTGGTGAAGTTGTTGTACCTAGAAACCTAGGCAGCCTGGGTTTTGGCTTCTGGACCTGAGGCATGTGCTCCTCATGATAATCAAATTGAGGTCCAGGAGCAGGAGGAGGAACCAGAATGGGCCAGCGAACCATGACAGGTTGGCCGCGATCAAATGTTATCTCAATAGTTTGTGGCCTTGGAGGCGGAAGAGGAGCATCGACATTGACATGAGCTGCTAGAGGTATAATGGCTTCTGGTGCAACATTGACTTCAGGTGCATTCACTTCTGGCGCCACAGTAACTTTAGGTGCCACATTTACTTCAGCCATGACAACGTCATTGGCTTTAGTATTTGTGTTTGTGGCCGCCTCAGTATTATCAACCTCCACTTGAGTAGCTGGAGGGTCGGACACGTTCTCCTCGAGAACAACTGCTTGGTTGGTAGGGGGTGTGGCAACACATTCTTCTTCTTCTTCATAGGTTTCTTGTTGTTCTTTGGCTGATGCAGCCGGTATATCTTCAGCAGCTTTGGCTTCAGATTCTGAGACGTTCGCAGTTGGAGTGGCTTCAGGGAACACTTGGCGTGATACTGAGTTGTGGTGCCCTTCTCCTTTTGGAACACTCGAAAGAGTGACTTGTGGCCTTGGACCTTTGCGAAGCCTGCGAAACGCGGGCGACGCCTA